GGATCTATTGGCAAAAATTAAATATAATATTCAGAGACACTTTTTCATTGGTGTATAATCACCTGAAAATAAGAGTGGCTGTGTCTTTGTTACCTCAGACTCGAGCGGGTCCTCTTCCTCTGGAGTTGTTGAACCGCCATGTTTTTAATGTAGTCCAGAATGGACTAAATAGGGCGTTTTGAGTTTTTCTCCGTTTTTGTGGCCACTGTAGTCTCCGTCAAGCTTGAAAGGCTGAGTTATACTCAGATGGTTGCAATCTGCAGCTTCGCCACTAGATGTCACTAAATCCTACACACTGGTCCTTTTTAATCTATGTTTTTACTCACATTACATTAACCACCAGCTGAAGCAGATGCACCTCCAACTGGACCCTCAGTTGTGCATCTGTCAGAATGCCACACAGTCAGCTGTGCTGCGTGGCTTTCTGAATCTGTCTCTCTTGCTATCAATGAGTTGCCTCTGAATCATTTCGAGAGAGCGTGCATGTGAATGAATGGCCTTACTCTGTCTTCAGAAGCAAAAATGTAATCAATGTGCAGGATTTTAGGCTCAAGCTGATCTTGGTGGTGGTGGAAACCTGCTCCTGCAGTGCTTTTAGGACAAGGCAGCGTGTCCTTTCTGTTGTAAACACAGTGTGACCGCGATGCCGGAGTTGCATCAAGAGGTTTTTGCTGGACAGGCAGTCTTAGACGGATCATACCCTCATACTGTAGCTCTCTGGATCTGTGCCCAAACTCTAAACTCTTTTGGCAAGTTTCTGTAATTGAATCATATTTTGTCTGTCGTGACTCGGCCATTTATTTTTAGAGCTAAAAGCTTTTGTTGCTAGGAGACAGTGTGTCTCAGGAGAGGCTGAGCGAGGGAGGGACAGAATGAAAGAGAAAAGAAAGAAAGAAAGAGATGGCAGTGGTGTTGAGGGGGAGAAAGGCGGAATCTGTGAAAGCTGAACGACGAACGAACAAGCTATGAGTCAGCAGGGACATCTGCAGCACACACACACATGCAGTGGGCATGGTTGCTATTCCTGTGTTCTTTGTCTGTGTGCTCTGTGCACCCACGCATGAACCCACTTACCTCTCCCCACTAACCTGTGTTGTGTGTCTGTGTACTTTGTGTGTGTGAGAGAGATATTAGCTCGCCCACTTTTATTTAATCCACTCCTGCTGTGTGTGTGTGTGTGTGTGTGCACATCTGTATTTTTGTGTACCCCATTATACAGCAGTGTTTTGTGTCTGTGTCACAACGCCTAACCTGTCCCCAGTGACAAGAGCCGTATTGTCTGGTGTGTGAATCATATGCTTATACCCCATTAGTAATCTGCCTTCAAATGGCTATTATCAACTATCATAGCCAGCTTGTCTGTCTTCTGGCTCACTCTCCGAGCGCCATAGGAGATCAGATGGCAGCATGTGGTTTATTAGTCATCAGGAACTGGTCTGTTTTTCAGGATATTTTTTCCTTTTCCTTAATATGACTTTAGTAAGATTTCTTTTTAGTGTGTTAAGAAAGGCTAGCTTGTGAAACTAAAGAGATTTGGAGAGTGAGCATTGCACCTCATGTTCTTATATTTCTAGTTAGTCTGTTTTCCGATAATCTTCCAATAAATTCTCATGGTAATGGAAGTTTTTAAGAACACAACAAATACTTAAAGAGATGCGCCACACTCCTTACTGGTCTCTTTATCACTTTGATTTTTATACACAGACATCCCAGTATGGAAACCAGAATAATCTATCCACTGTAGCTCATTAAAAGAGACACATTTCTCAGCACAGACACACTATTTGTGAATCACACACAAAATGCATTACAACTCTTGATCAGAAAAAGTCCAAAGAACCAGTTCCATAGTGAAATTCCAATAAAAAGGATATGCAGGGAGGGCATTGATATTGCCATTTAAATGTCTGTGTGTCCAAAATTTCCCATGAATTGCGAACAATCAGTGAATGAAGGGATGATGACATTATGAAATATGAAAAATGGAAAGAAAGTTGAGAAAAGAAAGGATGCAACTCTACTTCTTGGAAATGTTGGTGTCTGTTGGACAGTAAAACGTCACAGCTTGAATCTCTTAAATCTATCCTAAAGGGAAAAGCAGATTGCAGTTACTCAACGTGTGTGTGTGTGTGTGTGTGTGTGTGTGTGTGTGTGTGTGTGTGTGTGTGTGTGTGTGTGTGTGTGTGTGTGTGTGTGTGTGTGTGTGTGTGTGTGGTGTGTGTGTGTGTGTGTGTGTGTGTGTGTGTGTGTGTGTGTGTGTGTAGTCAGACGTTGATCACAGGGGAGCTCGCAGCAATGTCAAAGGCATCGTGCCCGTGCAATACCTGGAGTTAGGTTGCTTGCTAAGTTTAAACTCCTGTGACAATATGGGCAGTTTTTCATCCACTACAAGTTTTTTTTTTTTTTTATATATATATAATCTATTATATTTTGTATTTTGTAATTTTTTTATTTGTGATATTCTTTGTTTTCTGTTTTGCACTACTTTGCCTCATTGCTGCTGTGTCAACCTGAATTTCTCCTAAGGGGGATCAATAAAGGAATATCATATCTTATCTTATCTTATCTTACAAAAATCAATTAAAATCTGCCTCCAGTGTTTAGCCACTGCAGTTGTACTTGGCCTTGAATTGTAATGTGGCAACACTGTATTGTAAACACTAGGTATTACATTGTCTGTATGAGTGGCGTTCTCATAGGCCTTAGTGTACAAACGGGCATCTGTCGTGATACCATTTTCTCACTTTTAGTAATATTAGTAGTTACCCACACTTGCAGACACACAGTTGCACTTTACACACCTGATATTGGACTTTGGTTTCACCGTGTCTAGATTTTCCATGACTCGCTTTGTCTCCATTTACACCTGCTATTAAAATGTGATCTGTATCCCGATAAGGAGAAGCGCTTCAGAATTTGATTGAACGTATCGGTGCATTGCGATTGATATCAGCAGAGTCAGCTACTTGTAAATGCAGTTCATGACAATTCAGAGAGAGTGGGGTTGTTTTTTTTTTTGTTTTTTTTTTTTATTTCCTGAGAAAGCACCACCCATGTAGGCAGGAATGTCGTGACTCACTCTGGAGTTTGTTATCCACTCACCTTCACAAAGACTGGTGCAATCCATTTCCACCAGTTTTTACTCCTTTTAACTGATCCACTGTGACCAGTAAGTAAACGTCAGGTACACTGTACAGTTTTTAATAAACTGACACCTGCCCGTTTTTGTTTGGGTTTACTTTACCATCCGCCATCTTATTTATAAAGGAATCTAATCCCAATAAGCACACAATGCAGACAATGAGAGCACACATTGTGTAAATGGAAAAGTCATAATTGATTTAATTACCATCTGGGCACCATATCTAGATACAGTTTACTTTACCCTGGGATTTAGTTGCCAGGTGTGTCTTCTTCTTTCCAACTCTTTTACAACTCCTTTTTTCTGTTCTTTTAATGTCGTGTTATCTGTTTTTCATCTGTTATTTTGTATGGTTGCTTTTGTGTGTTCTTGTCTGCTTTTATGGAGCTGCCCCAAGGCGGTTTCCTATCAAATGTTGACAGGGCAATAAAGTGCTGAGAAATTAAACAATTCCCCGTTTAATATGCCAGATTAGTGTGCCTATACACAGATACATTAGGTGGTGTTTTGAGAGTATGATCACATACAGCGGGGGTGCAACAACTTTCGTATTATATGAACACAATGGCGTCATCAGCTGTCATTGCAACCTGGGTCAATAGGCCACATCACACCAGTGTTATAGTCTGTCAGCCTTGAACATATCATTGTTAACAGTTCAATGTCACTGCTATATAGATATGACAGACTTTGTAGAGTGTGGGAAACTGATTGTAACCTTGGTATTTAGGATAGTGTGTTTCTTTACAGTTACATAAACACATACGCACACACACACACAAAATTCAGCATTGTTATATTGTGGCCATATGTTTCCCACCCTCAGCTTTCTCAGCCTGATTGCCAAGGCACATCTGGTCCTAATGAGGTGTGTGTGTGTGTCTGTGTGTGTCTGTGTGTGTCACTATGCCTTTGCTATTCAGCCTTTCAGCCTGGCCTTGTGTTGAAGTGGTGTTGAGTCTTTTACTGCCACCCACTGCTTTACAACTCAAAGCCTATACTTTTAACTGTTGGATAATAGTGCGTGTGCTTGTGTGAGTATGTGTTCTGATAGTAGTTATAAAACCATAGCTTATATTTTGTCTGCACATATCTCAAGGCTTGTTAATCTGTTATAACAGTGCTGATTTTCCAGCTTTGATGGCGATAGCAGTGAAGCTTTGATATGACTGCGGCCTGTGGGAGGAGATTTAGCAGAAATACTCCGCTTTCCCGGAGACACTGGATCCACTTTACACCACAGACCGAGTCCAAAATGTGTTCAGGAATTCAACGTACATGTTTTATTCTCGATTCTCTGATTCCCAACGGTGTCATATGTCTTGTATCCTTTCACAAATGCTCCTCTCTGCTAAGTCAGTGTTATTTCTTTATTTCACCTCCTGTATTGTCTACTCTTCTTTACTAACTCTATTTTCTCTCTTTGAAAAATTGGAACCGGTTTCCACACATTTTTTTGCCTTATGCTTATCTCCAGGGAGACAAAAAAAAGCAACCTTCAAGCACAAAAATGGATGCCAGTTGACTGTTTTGTTGTTTTTTTTGTTTTTTTTTGCAAATGCAATATGTCTTTTGGTACCAAGAAATTTGCGCACACACAGTATAAAGTCCTCACTATTCTTTTATAATCTGCATTATAGCTGTAAACACAAGCACCTATTGTGTTGTTGGCTCTCGTATCAAAACAACTTCAAGAAAAGAATTATGGTTTATCACATGCAGTGCACCAACAACAACAACAACAACAGAAGCTGGAGTATATTTAGGTTTTTCTTGTTGTGTCGATCCTTTCTTTGCATTCATGTCTGTTCATGATCATCCATCTGAACACCCTTCTTTTCTCTCCTCCGTCCCCCAGGGTTTGCCTTCCCGGATTGGGCCTACAAGCCTGAGTCAAGCCCGGGCTCCAGACAGATCCAGCTGTGGCACTTCATCCTGGAGCTGCTGAGGAAAGAGGAGTACCACGACGTCATCGCCTGGCAGGGAGACTATGGAGAGTTTGTCATCAAGGACCCAGACGAGGTGGCCCGCTTGTGGGGAGCCAGAAAGTGTAAACCGCAGATGAACTACGACAAGCTCAGCCGAGCACTAAGGTGAGACTTAAGTGGGTGAAAAGGGGTGAAAGCAAAGAATGACCTCTTCACACTTACGCCCTGATTATACTTAAAATGCATGTGATCCAAGTGGACTGTATGTGCCAACAAAAAAAGGAACAAAGCTCTATATGCAAATGAAAAATGTATAAATGTGTCCTTTTTTGGACTATATCTGCCCTATAAAGAAGCACATTAACAACTTAGGGATGTCCCGTTGTCCCGGGTTCAATAAGCTTGGCAGCCGGGAAACAAAGATACAGTGTCTGTGAAAGTAAGTTCAGCGTCAGACCATCAGGGAAAGGGCACGAAATATATTCAGTTATATTGTAATTCATTCCTATGCATGCTTCTCGGAGAAGTAGCAGTCCAAGACTTTCCTGTGAACAGTTCCTCCTGCACCGTGTGCTGGCAGTCAGTAGGCGTGGCGTGTGGGGAATGTTTGATCTGCTCGCTCACTCTTTCTCTCCAGATCTGTGGATAAGGGTGTTCCTATAGCTTTTATGTAAATCGTTTGTTTGAGCTTGTAAATATTTAAATAGTGTGTTTGATCTACTTTCTCCCATTGTAGATTTTTTAAATTCAAATATATTATGTCCCTGAAGTGAGTGAGTGAGATTATTTGGCTAAATAATAAAAAAGTGTGTGGATCTACAAAACAGGTTTGCATTTGCAGTGATGCATTTATTGATCAAAAAGTTAGAAATAAAAAAACCTCCAATGACTGAAAGAATAATGAAAACTGACTGTGGCCAAACGCATCAGAAATAAGTGCAGGGATAGCAGAACTTCAGTGGCGGACCAGAGTGAGTTAATGAAGTGATACAAGTTATCAAACGATACTCATTATGTTGAATTTGGAACAATGGTTGTTAAGTGTGGGACAGTTGAAAGTAGAATTTGGGATGGCTGCGGGACATTGAGGACACTGCCCCATAAGTATGTTTGACCTAATTTATTTGCTCCTTTTTGATTTTGTTTCTTTGTAACTGAACACAGACATTCAGATCTGAAAGCTAAAGGTCACATAAACCCTGCATATGACACAGGAAACTGAACACATGTCCAGCCAAAACTTGTCTATCCACCCCCATTTGGGGCTTTTGGTTGCCTTAAGTTTAGTAGAGCAGTTTAAGAGTGACAAGAAAGTGAGAGAGCGAGAGAGAGAGAGGTCTTTGCTCCAGTCTAAAAGGTATAACACCATCCTTAGTAAGGCTAGTCTGGAATGCTAATATTTAGCTACATATTTAGGTCATGTGTTCCTAGTAGGTATCGACACAAAAGAGTCAGATAATGGCGAACCCAGATGAGTCGATCTTAAGTTACAGGAACTGGAATCATGTTTTGAACTCCAGATGAGCTGTGATCAACTCAATGAAGCATACAAGATTGATTTTTTTTTAAAAATAAATCCAGTTTGTTATGGATAGAAGATAAAAGTGGAACATTTCTTTTCAAAATTGTTCTAATCCTGTCTGAACTTTACAAGGTGTAAAAACAAGCTAAATGGCATTTCAGAAACGGAAGCTAAAGAATAGAAGGAGGGAAGTAGTGATAAAAGGTTTGGTCTTATTTCTTCGCCATGAACCGTATTCCCTATTTAGATTGTGCTGAGTTACAAAACTAAGAGACCATGAATTGGGAAAAGAAACTGTAGCTTATGTTCATCATCTTTTCAAGCTTCTGTTTTTTGTTAAATAATGATTCACAGGAACATTTGTTATCTACTTTCCCTCTGTAGTTGGTTGTGTGCGATGTTAACGACATTAAGGTTTGAGTTTATATTTTTATCTCCTATTTCAGAGACTTTTCTGTAACTGGCTTAGGGGTTAATTTGAGCTCAATTACAACTGCATCAAATGTGTAAGACAAAAATGATGTGGTGTTAATGCCGCGAATGTGCATCTGCGCTACGTGCTAAAACTCGAGGGTGACAGTAGATTTAGAAACGCACACCTTCGCCCTCCGCAGAGCACATGTGGGATGCTGCAGCGTTTTATTTAGCTGCCAGTCTGTTCTCTCATAATCATGTACACACACACACACACACACACACACTCTCTGCTAGTCATCAGTGTCGCCTCCTGTGTTGTAGGTTGGTGTGGGTTATAGTTTGCCATGGTGATGACTAGTTACACAGACTCACACACGCAGACTCACACACACACACTCACACACACATACACTTAACACCTTGTTATATGTCAGCCCTCCTCCAGCCCATCTGTGTCTTGTTTGTTGCTTAAACCTTTTTCTATCATAGACTTAACCTCATATGCCTGTGTATTTAAAGACTCCCAACCTTTTCTGAACTTCTATAGGAATATATTTGAACACATATTTATTGATCCAGAATTTAAAGAACTGATTGATTTTGCAGTATTATATATTTGTATGTTAGTTCATTTAACAGGGAAAATGCAGATGAATGTTATATAAGGAAAGACAGTGCAGCAGATGTAATGTGTGTGTGTGTGTGTGTGTGTATAGGAAGCTCGTTAGGCGTGATGAGAGAGTTTTAAAGTAAAACGACAGACTGCAAAAGTTTGTAGGTTTCCTTTAGGTTTTATTTGATGCCACTAATGGAAGAATTGAAAGTCATTGGTGTGATCCACAGTTATTTGAAACATCAACATGTCATTAATACACAACAGTAAATTAACAGTCAGTTCGATGCAGGAGCAGTTACTTTCTCTCCGGTTTCAGTGAGTATTTTACATCAAGGACCAGCTGGAGCCAACTTATTGTTGTGATGTCTTTTCTGTGGTTTGTAAACCTTTTTATATGAATGAAGAGCTGTTAATTAATTCTGAAGTGTTGTTTGGAAGAAAGTTCTCTCTGTGTTTGATTGATGTGTCTCTCCGTCTTTGAAGTGAGTGTGCATTGGTGTACGTGTGTGCGTCCATTCATGCATATAAAGTGCATGTGTGTAGAGACGGGTCTGTGCGCTTGTGAGTTTGTGCTCATCGTGTGTGTTCAATGTATATAGGTCGAGAGTATACTGTCAAAGTCCTTTCTAGTTTATTTGAAGGAAGTTCAAATGCTCTTCAAAGAGCAGGAGGCCTGAAGCGAGCCTGGGCCCGGTATGTAAGACCGGCAGCTGTCCCATATTGACTCAATTCTGTTTAAGTGTGTGTGTTCGTTCCTTTCACATGTATGTGCCTGGCCTTTTCGCCAGACTCGTTTTAAAGTGCCATCCATCTATCCACACGTCTGTGAACATTATGTCCCTCCAGCTTTTACTGCACATGCAAGCCTGATATTGTTAACACCCGCTCACAAATACTGCTGTTTACCTCCTACAGTGTGTGTGTGTGTGTGTGGCTTTGATTTAGTCGTCATTTTGCGTGCGGTGTGTTTCGTGTGCATGACCGGTTGCCAGGTACTTCTTAATTTCTACCTGTACAACGTTTTCATGTACTGAACCTCAGCATAACTTTAAGCAAGAAAGCTGATAAACCAAAAGATTGAGCATTGGAAGAGATTGAACTTGTCAATAAGTGCTGTACTCAGAGCAACTCTTAAATACTAAATATTATCAATTATAACATACTTTCCTTTTGATGGAGTTTTATTCCATTATAGATTGTATGTTTACTTAAATCAATAATTAGAGAACCTTTTCCACCACTGCAATCTCCTAGTGATTTGAGTTTATTGTGGAAATTACTTAAAGCCAATGTATGAACACTGTGTGCTCTCAAATAGATCAAATAACTGCTCTAATTTGTTTGGGTGTGTGCTCATTAGTTTTCTCATTACTTACATATGTTTTCTGCATGGACCATATATTTGAGCATGTGGGCCTGCTCCTTTGTCTCCCCACCTCACTATGTAATATGTATTTGTGTGTGTGTGTGCCTGTATTACATGTGACGGTGTGGGTGTGCGTAGTAGTCGGCTCTAGAAGAGGCCCTTCACTCATTGAGTCATTGAGGGGCTGGATGAGCTCCTGGTTCACACAATCCTGCTCTGCGGCATTGTTCTGTGTTGTACCAAACTCCAGTGACTAATACTCTGATCACACATACATACAGCTGGGCATGGCATCATCATTATGACAAATATTATTTCCACAATTATTGTGTTTTCTCAACTGTCACTACTCAACTGTATGACTGATTTTTAGGAATATAATATCTTGTTTTCTACAGCAGTAATGGTGTGCAGCATTGAAAGTGTTGGGGGTCACAGTTTGATATCGTCATGCACCATTGTGTAGTTCTGTGGAAAGGCAGACGAAGGTCCAGCACGAAGGATTTTTACTTTGCTGAGTTAAATCGCATTTTGCAAATACTTCCTAGAATTAGTTTTATCCCACTTGGAGAAAAAAAAGGGCATTTAATGTGGCGTTATTGAACATTAATCACCTCACACGTGTATAATTATTTTCTCTATATTACCATTATATTTTATTACTGTACAATAGTAACAATGAACCGTGTTTGTGTGTTATATGTGTGGCCAAAAATTAACGATTGCTCTTTTTAGATGGATAGATGGATAAAGTAAAATGGATCAGTGGACGTTAGCCAGTACTCACTGCTTTCCTGGTGTGATTTTTAGATTCAGCCTTTTCTGCTCCTGGAGAACAGCTTGAGTCTAACTTACTGTCAGCAAGAGATGTGTTTACGACTTGTTATTCAAAGCAAATCCATATTTTTATGTACAAATTTAGCCACTCCGCTCCTCTCTGCTTGAATCTACTGGAAATGATGAGTAACATATTACATTTCCTAGAATGAAGTGTCCACTCTGAGTTGAATGAGAGACACTATTTAGAAGTTTTTATGTAAAGAAATATGAATGTGGTTTTGTCCTGAGGCTATCGGTGAGTCACAGGGAGCCATTTTATCTTGACGATGAGCTGTCAGCGGCTCGCTATTCACTCCTCTACTGTGTATTGCTGATGACTAATACACTCTTATTAATGGAGCTGCCTGGGTAAAACTAAATCAGAACGGCTGTCTCGCTTCCTTAAGTAATCACAGTGAGAGTTTGAATCTAGCCGTGTGTTCATATTGTGTAATTATGTGCTAATGTAGAATTACCATGCAGGTAGTGCTTGGTACAGTGACGTAGTTTCAGATTTTTCACTTTTGTCTTCTCTAATATTACATGGCTGTGTATCTTTTTCCTATACTGTGGCCAACTAGCAAACACCAGTTCAGTGACATTAAACATAAAAATGTCAGTATTAGGTGCAGTAGGGATGGGGATCTTTTTGCAGTCTCCTAGTTCAATTCGATTCAGATTGTTGAGTCAGTAAAAAGAAAGGTGTTTGGTTATCACTCCAGTGTCCAAACTGTTTGTGTGTTTGAAAGAGGCAGAGAAAGGTGTGTGAGAGTGCAGACGTCTTTATTCAGTTATTTAAGTTAACTTGGAAGCATATTCTTCCTGTATGAAAATAATAAAATGGAAGTAGAGTTTACTGACCAGTATCACAGAAGTTGGTGTAGAGTGAGTGGGAAAGGAAAAGATGAAGTGAGTCCTCTGCTCTGTTATGGTTGACGTTATCTCCAGCAGTGGGGGACAGCCTCTCTGCTCTGCTCTAGTACTGGGGAGCACCATTTTTATCCAAAACACTGCATAGACACATTTGAAATAAATGACCAATAAACCCACCAGAGTGCAACAGTGTGGTCTGCTCTGTAGGTGTTGGGTTCAAAGGAGTCACAAAATGCATCCCCTATATCTTGCCAAGATAATTATTAAGTCATTAAATCCAAAATGTGCCTAAATGGTTGCCTTTTGAGCTACGAGATTACTGCGCTGTGCCCTCACAGTTGAGTCTCGCCCTTCTCGATATGTTAGTATAACCTTATTAACTAATATTATTACAAAAACGATTTTTGGCATTTGTGAATTCAGAATCATAGAAGATAAGAATCGCAGTTCTTATGTGAGTTCTTCTGTTGTTTTTATCCGCCCCTAGAGTTCAGAGCGTACCGGTGACCCCAAGGTCGAGTCGTCGTCCATGTGTTTGTGTCTTTATTAATTTAAATAAAAGTTCCATTTTAACAACTGAAAAACCTGTAATGGCTCTTTTTATACTTTCATCCATTTCACATTGCTGTGCAGAACTGCTCATGTACAGTAATTACTTCACATTGGTAGGGATACAAGAAAGTTCAGATTTGATTGGCTGTTGACCCAGCCAACAAGATTGCTAAATGTCCACATATGGGCCAACTGTCACAGTTTATTCATTTTGGTTGCACTGTGAATAATCACTGGCTTGCTACACGACTGCGATTCATTTTGTGGCAGGCAGGAGAAATCCAAGTTTCTGCCCATTGTTTCAGCTGGAAAAATGTGCATAGAAAGTATTTATCCATGGTTTCACTTTTAGATATTCAGCTTAAACAACATGTGGCCATGATTAAAGGTTTACTTCATGCTGATGATGTGATCTGTGTTTAAAAATGATAAATCACTGGGAGATAACACTCTGTCTACCCTTCTCTCTTTTTAGATACTACTACAACAAGAGGATCCTCCACAAGACCAAAGGGAAGAGGTTCACCTACAAGTTCAACTTCAACAAACTAGTGCTGGTCAACTACCCCTTCATTGACATGGGCTCTGGTACGCACACACTCACAGTAACATTGTAAATCTACATTCTCAGTTGGTTTGTAGCATCAGATGTTGAAGAGTAGACGTCTCATTGACAAAGTTTGAGAAGTTTGTTGTAATTTACAGGGGTTGTGCACTTAACCAGGGCTTTAAGGTTTTTGAGATTTTTAAATGACAGTAATTGAATGAAATCCCTTGGCAACTGAAATGTGTGGTTCTTTTCAATGGAAAGAATGAAATCACACTTGACTCTAAGTACCTGTTTAAGGAGCGCAAGCTTTAGGACAGACTTTTGTCTTTTTGGCCTTCAGGTGTTTGAAGTACTTGTGTGTGCAGTGTGTGTGGATTTATGAACTTTACAATTCATTTGCTGATAGTTGTAACAAAAAAATGACCTGTGAAGTATAATTTTAATCAGCTTAAATAATCATTTTAATCATAATCATCCTAGTAGAACTACATCTCATATATATACACAAACATAATCTGGGTGTAGTGTGTGTGCATGTATCTGCCTGGTTAGTGCGTGTGCGTGTACACATCAGTGTGCCACGTCCCAGTTTATCCCTCTCCTCCCTCCTCTGAAGTCGTCTCTCGTTCTGGTCCCGGCCACCCAGTGTAAACACAGCCCATATGGAGCGTTGGATACTGGGTGACATAAGTGCAGCACGAAACTTTAATTATAGCCTCCGTGTGATGTGGCCCACACACTGACATGTTGTGATATGATGGTTTCATACGATGGTTACACACACACATGCCCACGTCAATCTGGATTGATACGCAAGCACAGACGCTCACAAACATACACACTGGATAATCACACAGGTTTTTTTTTTTTGTCCTCATTGTCTCTGACACACACATGGCTGTGAGATGTGTGATTTTTAAACAGAGACCCACACACACACACACACACACACTCGGCGGTACTGGAAAAAACAGAGGAACCCAACCCATGTTTGTGATGGCAGTAAGAGCGACTTTTCCAATATTTAATTCTGGCACGTGCGCGGATGCCAAGAATTTATTGCAGTGCCACAGTCTCCCTGGCAGGAGAGGAGAGATGGAGGAGGGATTGAAAGAGAAGGGAATTTGTGGCTTTGTGTAACCCACTGTTTTCTTTCTGTGTGCCTGTGACCCTCTGGGTAAAATAGTTGGAGTTATTGGAGACATGTGACCTACTCTCATTAGTTACTTTTCCCTTTCTCTTCAGTTCTGGTTCCTCCAAAAAAAAAACACCCAACATGTTTTCTCACGTAACCAATGCAATTTGTTCATTGATGGTCATTGCAATAAAAAATGGAACAGTAGCCTTTCCTTTCATACGCAATGTCCTGGTTACTCTGCATAATCCACAAAACACACACACCCACTTTCTACCAAAGATTTGTTCCTGTAAAAACTGTGTTCTGTGGATAATGTAACTTGGACACTTTTCCATTACTTAGAGCACCATAAATAACAACCAGTACACCTCCATTACGTTGGGATGGATGCATAAATCTCAGACTAATATCCCCCAACAGACCTGACCTCATTAGAGATAAGGGAGAACATACTGTATGTTCCTTTATAATTCCCAGAAAGAGGTCCTTAACGTCACCTTTTCTCATCCTCGCAGGTCGAGGAGTCCCTCAGAGTGCCCCTCCAGTGCCAACCGGAGGCACCCATTTCCGTTTCCCTCCCTCAACACCGTCAGATGTCCTCTCATCCAGCGAGGAGCTGCGCAGCCCAGGCATGTTCAGCAGTGTGGCTCGCCGCATGGCCCGTGGCTCTGTGAGCGACTGCAGCGACGGCACCTCCACCAACTCGGAGCTGGAGGAGGCTGTGGGGGCCGATGAGCGAGGCGTGGGGCCTGATAGGGCTTTCAGGGGCCTGCTTCCTCCTCGCCTGCCTCATGATTCTCTCTTCAGGGTCTTCGGCGGGGGCCCGAACCCAGCAGGGCTCCCCAGACCTGCCCCCAGAGTCCACCCAGACTCTCTGTCTCCATTCCCGGTCTCCCCCTGCCTGGACCCGGGGGGTCTTCTGCCCCCAACTCTGTCCCCAGCCCTGTCCATGACCCCTACCCCCCACCTGTCCTACACCCCCTCCCCCTCCTTGTCCTCTCCCATGATGGGCTCCCACTTCTCCTTCAACCCGGAGGACATGAAGCACTACCTGCAGGCCCACACCCAGTCCGTCTACAACTACCACCTCAGTCCCCGAGCCTTCCTCCACTACCCCAACATCATCATCCCTCAGCCCCATCGCCCCACCCTGGAGAAGCCGGCCACCCATCACCTCCACGCTCCGCCCCTGCCGCTCTCTCACTCGCTCAGCCAGCATTCAGGAGGTGGGGAGGAGCAACACCAGCAGCACCCGTCACCATTCAAGTTCAAGCTGCAGCCGCCTCCGCTTGGGCGCAAACAGAGGGAAGCAGGGAGCTCGCTGGCCTCTTCCTCCAGCCAGTCCTCCTCATTCACAGGGTCTGGACAGAACGCAGGGCCACCTAAGATCAAGGTGAGCCTGCAAACACACACACACACACACACACACACACACACACACACAGGTGGAGGAGGTGATGTTTCTAGATATGTCTCTAAAGAGTTTCAAGACATAAATGACATCTGTCCAGAGTGATAAATAAAATGTCATGTTGTAATATATTCTTCCTCCCCAGGTGGAGCCCATATCAGACATAGAGTCAGAAGAAGAGGTGGAAGTGACTGATATCAGTGAGGAAGATGAGCTCAATCACAATGACGAGAAACATGAAGGTGACATCTTCACCCCGACAGCTCGTCACCATCATCATCAGCTCAACAACCATCACCGGGCTAACGGAAACGGCAGCAGCCTCTCTGCCCCTCCTCACAGTAACCACGATGATGACCCTGATGATGATGAGGAGGTCTTCAAGACTCCCGCCACCCCTTCCATTGGCAGCGGCAGCCTGGCCTTCCCCCTGATCGGCCTGAAGAGTGAGCCGGGTCACGCGGCTCCCATCAGCCCCGGAGGCACGCGCTGTATCCCGCTCAAACTCCGCTTCAAGCGCCGCTGGAGCGAAGACCAGAAGATGGAGGCGGACGGCGAGAGGGATGAGGCGGAGGACAAGAAAGTACGGGCTGAGAGAGAGGAGGAGGTGGAGGGGAAGAGAGAGGAGGCAGGCAGGAGAGTGGGGGAGGTGGAGAATGGTGGAGGAAGAGCAGGAGGAAGTGTTATTTTGGGGTTGATGCTGCCACCACCTCCCACCCAGCGCAGAGCGAGCTCGGAGCTGCAGAGGGCTACAGCGCAGCTGTCTCTGGAAAACACTGGCTGCTGAGCTTCATGTGCACACACACACTTAGACAGAAAACACACACCTCTCGGGAGTCTTGTCAACAAACTAATAGTTTTGTGTAGACCATAACGCCTTGTGGTTTCCTGCCAGCAGTAGTGAACGTACCGGGGTTTGGTGTGCTCAAATGGCGACAGTGACTGAAAGGTGACTGTAAACACACTTTAATGTTGTTCTTTGTTGTATATCTGAATATGTAGACCTGTCATATGTAGGAAATGATGTTTTTTGTGCAATAATTAGAAGAGTTGTTGGGCACTTTTACTGACCTCACGGCCCCACGAGCTCCTTCAATTACTTAACATAGAACAGATTTTCCTACATAGGTTTGATCTACATGTTCAAAAGTTAGGAAAGAACAAGATGAATGTGTTACCGTAATTACCTCTCAGGATTTGTCAACACCTTACACTTTGTACCCTCCAGTGGTCAGTACTGTCAGCAAGCAGCCACTCGACATTATGGCCTAATGTAAAACCGTAAATGATAGATGTGCCTGTGTAGCCTCTAACGTACTGCAAGGCAAGACTCCCTTTGTGCCCCTGGTATCAAACATGAACACAGTAGACGGAGTATTTTTGCTGTGACTTACAACATTAAGAGATAACCAAACTCAGTCTGTATATTTCCTATTTTTAACATTAGAGCCGTACACAGAAGGAGTCTACTCTTAATATCTCTTAGGAATTGCACATTGCCTTTTCAATGCCTCTTTGCCCTCGTGGTGCCAGTTATGCCATAAGTCTGCCAGGGATCACCTCACATCACACCTGTGCCCAGAGTATGTCCTTTAGAGGTCTCTGTTCGTTTATCTGGTACAATGAAACAAATCACATTCACCCTAAAGAGTACAAAGCCGGCCGGAACTGTATAGCAGTAGATTGAATTGATTGATTTCTCACCCACGCCTGGCTCACTTGAAGGTGGCGAGCCCTCCTCCTCACTCCCCCTCTCATTTGTACTCACCATAACAGACAGACAGATCCTAATGTTACTAAAAACACTTTGAACTGCCCTGATAGAGATTACAGAAGTGCCTCTCTGTCTGCACCCATCACCATTCAGCCGTTTACAAGATGGAGGGCAGTGAGCAAAAAAAGAGAAAAACGTAGACCCTGCTCCGATGGATCTTACAGACTGAAGAGGGATTTTTTTTCTTTTCAAGAGGTGATTAGAAAGAACTCTCCAATCACGGTCTTTTCTCCAGGAAACAAGTCGGACACTATCAGACTGCATCAGGGCCAGACTGAGAGGTCTCTTCATCCTCTGCTCATTCACTACAGTGTATAAAGACATGAAATGAGCGTGGAGTTGTACATTTTAAAGACAGTCAAACTAAGCCTGAGAAGGGGAGGGAGATTTTGATGAACTGACTTCGACCTCTCAACCTCCGACCTGTCACGCGGCGCGGTTAGACATTTTGTTGGCCAGCGAATGGTTTCCACTGTACAGAAAAACCACCTGGGTCTCCGAGGGAAGCGCCGGATCTTTCTCTCCTTTTCTCGTCCCTTGTTGAGGAAATGAGGAAGCAGCAACCAGCAAGGCTGTAATTATAGACACACTTACGTTTCCAAATGTGTGTGTGTGTGTGTGTGTGTGTGTGCGCGCGTGTGTGTGGACCCAAAGCTGGTGTAAAAACATGAGCCCTCGGAGGATACAGAGGGTGTCTCAGCTTTTCGTGTCCCTGCTTGACTTCGCACAATCTTTTGAGGGGTTTGGAGGTTTGAGGGCATTCGTAGTGTTTTCTCCCTCAAACATACAGATCAACAGCTCTCTTCGGCATTCCCCGTTGTTGTCCTTTTTTTTTCCTTTTCCAAAGACTGTATTCTTTCTTTCAAAGGATGCTTGTGCCTCATAAGGACATGGACAGTATTTTAGGGCATTTGCAGTGATCTGAGGACTTTCTGTATTTTGGAGATAATAGCCGAAATCTGTTCATGTGATGTTTTGAGAAGCGACGAATGAAGCGAACTGATTTGTCTAGGCAGAGAACGGGAACCATGTAATGAATGTCAAGCATCAAGGTTAACTCAGGCAAGCCTTCACTGAGATATTGAGAAACAACTTATTTTTGTGACGTTTTATTGATATCGTTCAAACAAAAAAAAGACATTTTGCCCATTTTAACGAACAAACGAAAATAAGATTGTGCCTTTTTTAAGCCAACATGAGTTTTATCAAATACCCCCAGCAAAATGTTTTATCACACTCACACAGTACCACCATGCCTTCTGTTTTTGTAAAAGAGAGATACAGAATAAGTAAATCTACACATATATATTTTATTCGAATATATATTGAATTCAAATATTATATTTCAATATGGTCATTTGATACAAATCAGGAAAATCCTACTATTTTTAATGGTAAAGATATGTATATATTCTAATGGGCATATTATTACCAGTATAATTCAGCCTTTGCCTTCTCACTCTTGCCTTCTCTTGACCGTTGAGCTGCAGTGACAAAGGCCACCGGTATCAGAGTTTTATATTTATATTGTAAAAAATAAAACCTTCAGTTATTGTGTATTCAGGGGACGGAGGGTGTGAACGGGACGACGATTAAACGGGCGAGCAGAAACTTTTTAACCAGACCTGAGTCAAATCATATTTACCTTTTGTTAGTTTGGGTATGTTTGTTTTAAACATCCCTGGAGTAGTAGCCGGGTGGGGTTTGCCACCTCAGGGACACTGAGTGGAGCTCAATCACAGAAAGGTAAATTCAATAGTTTTTTGTGCTAACATTCAGACTCTGCTGACTTTGTCCCGCGTGGTAAACCCCGCCCGCCTGCAACTCTCTGACTCCGATTTGCTTTAAAAGAAAAAACGCGGAGGCGCAGGTTGTAACGGAGAGCTGGTAACAGACTCGTGTTCAGAGTAGACTGATTCTGATTGGACGACAGATACTCAGCAGGTTCTCGGCTCTGCGTCACCTCGCAAAGCCAGCAGGACCACAGCTGCTGATACGGCTGGACTTTGCTTCCAGCGTGGACTGTGGACTCGAGCAACTTTGTGTGAACCGAGTGTGTACGGGCTGGTCTGAACCCTGCCCATACACACACACACACACACACACACACACACACACACATACACACGCACACACCCCATCCTGGTTAGAGTGAGGCTTTACTGTGGCTACAATAAAGGGAAACATCACATCACATGTGACATCAGACGCCCCCACAGTCTCTCAGGAGTAGACTGCAAACCATAGAAACTACACACAGACACACACACACATATTTTCACACACACACACACACAGAGGAAATGGCATCACAAAACCTCAGAGCAGAGTGGAGAGAGAGGGACTTCCCATAATCTGACTCGCTCATTCTGCTCGGTGTGTACGTGCACTTCTGTGTGTGAGTGAATGTGTGGCTTCTATGGTTATGCCATCCACACACACACACACACACACACACACACACACACAGCACACACAAAACAATTCCACATAGAAGAGAAAAGACTGAAAGACCAGATAAAGTCTTGGCCTTTAGTCCAGGTTCTCTTGTCCAGATCGTCCAACCAGCTCCAGTCTCGTGTGTGTGTGTGTGTATCTTACACACGGTTGTTTTTCTTCACCAGGCACAAAAAATAAAAACCCTAACATCCATCCTTTTTTAATTGGCTCATTAACATGATCAGCATTTTACGACGAGTCAGATGTCCTCGCCATTTATCGTCAGTGGACGTTTCTAAACAGTGGAAGTTAAAGGACAGATGTAGCAGTTTAACAAGTGTGTCTGGTAAAGAGAAATACAAACACAGCTGTACCTGAACTGTTGCACCTGTGCTGCCTTACCTGTCGTGGCTTCAAAATCAAAAGAGAATAACTGTTTCCCCCCCGGGTTGATATTTTTCACCCCTCGATTTCACCGATGTTCTTATCATTTTCTTCTGTATTTTTCAGACATATTACTGTTACTCTTGTAATTATTATATTATTAACATGACTATTTTTGATTATTTTGTACCCTCTTGCCATGGCCCGGTCTCTTCTCCATGAAATTCCTGTTTTTTTTCTGTGAGTTTTTGTTCCAGTTTGAACTTCAACTAGTTGGCTTCAGTGCAGTCTTTTTTTTTTCCTTTTTTTTTTTTTTTTGTCTTTTTAAACTCACACTGATTTTATAACCATGTTACCATGGACAAGAGGAGGGTCACATAATCCCCACGATATACAGCAGGGGAAGAAACAATTGTTTTCACTTTTTGATGTTGTGTATATATATTTTTTTTCCATTTTGGAGGATTCTGTAAGAAAAAGAGCTTTGTACTGTTTAACCATTGTATTATTTGAAATGCCTCCCCCTGTCCTCTCTCTGGTCCCCTCTGTCTCTCCTCTCTCGTCCACCTCGACGGTGAGCTGTCACTCCAGAGGAGAGACAGAGACTTTTGTTTTTATCATGGAGGAACCACCTGTACTTCTGTTTCTCTTCTATCTGTTCATCTTCATTTGTAATTAAACAATAATCAGGGTTCATTAAAAAAGGTAAAAATGGACGTCAGACTCTGTGTCTTTCTTTTATTTATTCACCAGCCTCATTCCTTCCTTCAAGCTTCATTTGAGAGAAATGTAGCGCACTCAGAATGACAAATACTCACTTCTGGATGTGGGATTTGAGTTTTAAGGTGCGATGAACTGACTTTAAGGTCCAGTGTGTAACATTTAGGAGCATTTATTGGTAGAAAATAAAATGGAATATAATATATATATATATGATATAAAATAATGTTTAACCACCTGAAGATGGGAATCATTATTTCTTTGTTTCCTTAAAATGAGCTATTTATAGCTACAGAAGCTGCAGGGTGTCTTCCATAGAGTCCACCATGTTGAATTACATTACATGTTGAGTCTACAGTAACCAAAAACAGGTTTCATGAGCACCGTAGTTTCTCCTCCATCCTTTGAAGGAGACAGTGAAGCGAGGAAGTCGCTGGCTGCCACTGCACTGCTAGATGCCACTACATCCTACACACTGAAGCTTTAAGGAGACATTAAATGATACCGTGTAACAAATTATTAGAAGTAGAGGAGAAACCTTAGGTACATTAATTGAATTGTAAACTACTTTGAGAATGGATGAAAGTTGTTTTTTAAAGCAAAAATGACTGTTGTTAACTCTTGTTCAAGCCTCTCAATTGTGTTTCTTGTTTTTTATACCAGTAAATGGAATATTTTGATCTGTTGGTCGGACTAACAAGCAGTTACCTTTTTCTTGCATTTTATAGACTAAATTGGAAAAGGTAAAGCAACAGATTGATTGTTAATGCAAATAATCATTCATTGAATCCCTAATTAGTCACTTTAATTTGGGTGTAGTCGTAAAAATGGACTTTACACACACACAGACACACACGCATTGGCCGACATGTATAACAGAGTCACATCCCTGTTCTTTCATGCTGGTAGTTTTGTATTCAACAACCTGCAGCCTTGCTCTGCCAGCCCGCCTCTCTCTCTCTCTCTCTCTCTCTCTGAATGCTTCATGACTCAAGTCATGTCAACAGCACGTCGAGTACATTTTATGAAAGAAAAGCAATCCAGGGATAAGCATTCTCACTTCTGCACACAATAGACCTGTGATGGGTATGTGCCCCCTCTGGGAGACAGCTGCTACAAAAAGACCTTGATGGAAGGGATTTGGTTATGACAATGGAAATATTTCAGGAGGAAGGAGAGATGTTTGTGTCAACCTCCGAGTGAGAGGCCGACCTTGTGACTTTTACTCAGGTTCTGAGAAGTGTTTGGGAGAGAGTGTTGGTCTTTGTTAAAACACACAGTCGTCATTGTGTAGATATTTCTGTGTATACATTTAGGTGAGATGAAAGTTCAGTTAAAGATATTTGTGTGTTTTTTATTAGATTTTATTCCACATTTTAAGCGTTTAGCTGACGTCCGTAGAGGCAGCAGCAGAATAAATATGTCACATCAGTTCTTAGGTGATCAGCATTAGTCACGATTGCCCCGACAACATCCCTGAGAACTTCAATAATTGTGATGCTAATTGAGTCCCAGATGACACCTCAGTAAACCACCCACCTCGTGTTTTCACTTCTGCCCGACATGGAAGTTTTAATTACTCACCAGACTGGCAAATCTCTTCCATACACGATGTGGGTTTATCTTCTGCTTCATCACATGAGTTCAATCACACTCATTTTTGTGCCCCCTCAAAAAGATTTTGGGTGCTTGTTGGCTCTGCGATCCTGGTTTTTGGGTTTGATCAGAAGGTCAGAATTTGTGCTCTGGGGTTTGTTTTTTAAAGGCTGGTATTTAGATTTTTTTAGGGACCAAAAATGCCCCAAAAAGATGATGTTTTTGTTTTTTTTATGTGGCCAAATAAGAGCTGCAATTAAAGATGATTTAATTCATTATCCATAAAACTGCTGAATATTTGTTTGATTTATCCAGCATTTGGTTTGTCAGAAAGTAGTGAAAAAAATTCCCTTCACGGCTTCCCAGGAGGCACGATGATATCTTTAAATAGCTTGTTTTGTCCAACCGACAGTAAGACCCCCAAAGACATTCAGTTTTACAATCTCACAACAACAAAAAACAGCAAATCTTCACATTAGAGAAGCCTGGAACCAGTAAATTCTTGCTTAAAAATGACTTAAATGATTATTCTATTATGAATAAAAGCTGCCAGCTCTAGTCCAAACATCACAAGTTCACAGTTTGTTGCAGGAGAAAACCTCTGAAACAGTGTTTACACACTAAATGTCTCCACCAAGAAAAATACACACACATATATATTAATAAGAAGAATATGCGGGATTAAATCTAAGTGTAAAATAAAGAATTCAGTACAATAAGGATGTGTATAAAGTTGACTGTGTTTTCCTATCTTTCTATTAAAATTTATGTTTAAATGTGAAACTCATTAAAACAATCCTGTTTCTGTGTTATAATCTATGTTCGACCTTTAAAGACTCACTGAAGATCAAAGCTTCCAGTTCAGCTCCCTCCTGGTTTCTCTCTGAAACTCTGGCGCCCCCTGCTGTCGCTCTACAGTAATACACTTTAAGCTCCGGAAACTTCTGCAAACTCTCGCGAGAATTCAGTCCGAGAATCGCGGGATGGCATGTGAAACCATAATGGCTTCATAATTGAGTGTTTGCCTGCAGTTTGTAAACACACATTTATGTCTAGACTGATCAGTGGCCCATCTGGAAGCTTGTACAGAGGGGAAAGTCTCCATTATAGAAGGTAATGGGATGGAAATATCTTAATATTGTTTTAAGCACCTCGCTGTGCACTTTAGTTGTGTAATTACCATAAATACCAGAGTTTGGTGGGTTAACTGCGCACCAAGATGTATTGGAAATAAATACTATTTGATCTATTTGTACAAACACTCTCATGTCTGTGTGCAGAGTATGAAGCTACAGCCAGCAGACAGTTGGTTGGTTAACCTGGCTCTATCACACTACCAGCTCCTCTAAAGCTCTCTTATTAACATGTTATATCTCTTTTTTTAATCAACACAGAAACCAAAGTGTGTGGAGGACAGCTGTAGTAATGTCCCTCTTGATGGGGCCGTTTTAAATCACTTTTACTGTGTTACCTTTCTGTGGTGAATTGTGCAAAATGACTGACAGTAACACCACCTCTTTCTCTACCTGCACATCTCACTCACTTTTACAGTGTCTTTGTGTTCTCATTGTTAAAAATCCTGTTAATCATTTCAGTATTTGTTTGATCTCTCTCTAACCACCAGCACTCAGTCCTCCCATCCATCTCTCCCCATCTCTCCCCTCTCTCTCCCCTGCGGTCTGTTTTTGAAGCATTCATCAGCTGCTGATCTTAACAGGGGCCGGGGACGTATTTAAAAGGAGGCTGATTGACGGGCTGTTTGGCCTCCAGTGGAGAGAGATTGTTGTCTGGCTGTGGGACGAGGTCAGAGGTCACAGTCCAGAGAGCCCGAGACAGAAACCAGATCACAACACAAGGCTAATTATCATGCATTGTTGCTGGGCTCCTGCTGGGACTCTGCCTTCGCTTTCGCCAGCAGGTCACAGTGAAAGCTCTGGACCTCCAACATTCAAAACCTGGTGAGACACATGATTAATGTAACTTTTTTGCTTGTTTAAGATTTATTTTTTTTTGGTGGGAGGGGGGGGTTATGCCTTTTTGTGATAGTAGGAGCTGTAGAGAGAAAGGACAGTGATTAGAGAGAGAGAGATGACAGGCAGCAAAGGGCCGTATGTTGGAATCGAACCTGAGCCACTGCGGTAAGGAGCTTTAAACAAGGGGCACGAGCTCTACCAGAGCGCTCCAATCTAATATTTCTTAATATCTGAGTTATATACTTACCTTCTGAGTTAAAAAGTGCATATGTGTTGTGTGTATGAGTGTGAACAGGTGGCAGAATAAACTATTATATAGATCATCCTACATCTAATTTGCAATCTCTACAACTATTATAGTTACTAGGAAATTATTTTTAAAAAATAAGTGTTTAGATAACAATGAAAAGGAAAAAATGTTTATTCATTTAGTCAATTATTCATTTTTATTCTATGGTTTTTATATATATTCTATATATGTCAAAGTTATTTCAAAATATGAATAAATGTGGATTATTTAATTAAATTAAAACAATCAGCAATTTTTTATCAAATTTGGGGGGAAATCAGATAAAAATTGTTAAAATATATTTAATAGTTTATATATTAGTTAGTTTTGGTCTCAAGAAAACCACTACTTTTGAGTTTTTTTGGGTGGGAGGGGGCAAAAATATTGTTATGTAAAATGTAGGGGATAAGTATGCTAAAATAATTTTTCTTTCTCAATGTATTATGGGTGTGATTTTATTCCTTTCCTTTTTCTTTATTCTACTCAATTCCTTTCTCTTTGATTTCTCTGATGATTAGAGTAGACACTACTACACCTACAGGTGTTACAACATGGTGAACTGGAGGTTATGAACCCAATAAAGTAAGTAACCAGTAATAACAATTATTGACAGTAAAGCGCAGAAAAAAATCTGTTTAATTTTAAACAGACAGCAGAAAAGTTTCAATAACAGAACTCAGTGAAGACTGGTTGACCTAGTGTTTGAGCAGTCAGTCAGTCAGCCAGTATGTGTGGAGGATTACACGCTGACAGTTGAGTACCTGCAGCAGCAGCAGGCGTGTGAGTGTATTTCTGGAGGCAGATTGTCCTCGCGGCTCAGTGAGCCGGCAGTGCTGCCTCCTCAGTAATAAGGATTCATTATCTGTGGGAGTCACGAGAAGAGAGCGTCCGCTGGCTGCCGCTCATTTATTTCAATAACCACTGATCACAAGCAATAAGCCCACATACAATAGCTCATACATATGTATCTGTGCAGGTGACAAATATGTATGAATCAAATACATCAGTACAATTTATGATGGTTCTAAGCATGATGACTATATCACACGAGCAACAAAGAAAGAGGAACATCCGAGATGACTTGCTTTAAGGTCAGTGGTTTTTAGTCAAAGAGGAAACAGCGCCATCTACTGAGGAA